TATTGAATTTTCATTGTAATGATATTCAAACTTGCTTAAATTTATAAACTTGCAAGTCTCTAAATTTTCTAAAGGTAATTATTTTACAGTTTGAAGGTGTCACAAATTTCTATATCATCTTTATGCAGCAAATAGCTGTTATAATTTCTATAACTCAAATCATTGTGTGAAAAGTGTAATAAAAATTCTGAGTAATAGAAATACTTCATAGTTTAATTAATCAATATTAGCAATCACATATTCTTTTGTTCTTAGGGGGAGATCAAACTTCCAATAATTTTGGGTAAGATTCATAATTTGTGTAGTTCTTTAATTTAGAGTATACAATATGATTAATCACAAAGTATTAATCTAGAAGCAAGTTGAGCAAGCTATTTTGTAAACAATTTAATTTTCGATTTGTTCATATTTTAAAACAACTTAAACTAAATCTATTTGAATGTATATGAATTGTTTAATAATTTATTTTAAGTAATATTTATGGTTTAGGTTTAGGTTATTCAACAGAATTTCTTTAGAAAAATCAATATAAATAGAGTTTGAAGTACAATAAAAGATATCTAAAATTTAACCTAAACATCGTATAAAACAAAGTGAATACGCATAATCAACACTCTTTAACTAACAACTACTAATCAATTAGAAATCCAATAAACAGATATTTCTAAGTTGGGGCAAGAAAATTAAAACTAATCTAAATCCATTTAATGATTATAGAAGGATAAATTAACTATTGTGTTAGGGATTTCGAAAAGGAATTATGAATGGGAACTCAAGGATATAATATCTGACCTACAAGAAGAAGAAGGAGTCTAAGAAATAAAATAAATTTAACTTAGAGCTAAATACAATTAATTTGACTTTTTAATTGGGGTACTCCGACCGATGGCCTTGTAAAGTATAGATGATGATTTTATGATTAATTTTCATCCTGCTTATATAACTATTGTTGCAAATTTAATCGTATTATCTTATTATTCCATCTAGCTGGTTGATTGCAGGACCAAATATAAATTGCAATAATCCTTTACCATAATCATTTCTTTTTTTGTTCCATTTGCTTAGTGTGCATTAAACATCGGATTGCCTGTAAGGGTATAAATTTAGATATTAATTAATCATCAAGTATTAAATCATAGATTTTTTCAATAAAATCTTTTGCCCTTTTATTCGAAAAGAAATCAATTTTATATCATTATTCTTAAATATCCAAATCGATAACCTCTCTCCTTCAGGCATTTATTGTGCCATCAAACGTATCATATCATCCTTTCCTTAAAAATCACTTTGATTTCCAGAAAAGTTCTTTCCTAATCTCCTTTCATTTATTTCTCAGACTTAATTATGTGGCATATTGATTTAGTTACTAAGATAAGTATTTAAATTAGTTTTATTCAAGGCAGCCAGCTAATTTGAAAATTTGGTAAAATTAGATTTCTCTCTAAAAATTATGAGATTAATAAACCTTAATTAGACTTTTGAAAAGTTTTTAGGAAAAGTTAAAAGTATAGAGAAGTATAGAATACATATTCGGGACCATTTTGCTTTAATTCAGAACCTTTATATTATTCCTAAAACACTAAATGATAGAATTTTGTTGTTTTCTTTAGTATGAAAGTGATCATCCAGAAAAAAGAAAGTGATCAAAATTAAAGTGAAAAAGAATATAAGTTATTTTTCAGATTAATTAGAAGACAATAATTCTACTATTTATGCAACAGATTCTTGATTTTGAATTAGATATTTGTTTCTTAAATGCAAACTCACAACATATCTATTGAGTTTCTCAAAGTATCTAAAATTAATTCTTTTAGGATAGGCTGCATCATCATAATAAATAAGGTGATTTGATATTGAGTTTATAATACAAATTTTTTAATTTATACAAACATTAAATTTAATTTATAATGACTCAAATTTGCTTAGAATAAGTATTAACATTTATTCAGTTCAAATGGTAATCTTATTCAACTCATTATCTATATTAGCTTAATAAATGGAATCTCTTTAAAAATTTGGCACATCCATTATAAGCTTATTTTTAATATACACAACAAATATCAAATCAGAAATGCTTGACTTGACCATAAATAATTAAATAAATAAGAGTATTTCTTGCCCATTTTCCTATTCTAAACCACCAGGCTAATATAAATCTAATTACCTTGAATATGGAGCTAACCCTCTAACTGAGATTGGGATTGACGATAGCCTCTATTTAATAATAAATATAAACTAGGGCTCTGGTCAATATAAAAGATCGAAATATTATTTTTTATTTGTGATTTAATATATTTGAATCTAAAATTTAGTTGTAAAAAAGGTTCGTAACAACTATTAGTACATTCTATTCTTAAACAATTGGTAATTTAGGCTATAAAATGAATAATTAAATTTCTAAAATAGATAAATACATAATACTCAATAATGATCTTTAATTGAAGTATCAGGACATTTATATTTGATAAATTCAGTTCATATTTTGATGATTCAAATGAAGGAAAGACCTTGGAGTTGACAGAGTCGACCAAATTAATGTGACTATCAGGTACTTTTACAAAGCCATTATTAGATTTCTGCACATTTAATATGTATGCCAAAATTATTTTAGAATTTTAGTTTAATTAATTTTTATAAAAAGAAAATCCATTACAGTATCAAAATAGCATTACTAGCTATCTAGTTTCAGGTATTAAAAATTTCATACAGATTTAATTATTTTTAGATATTCTCTATTTTGCAAATATGCGTGATTATACATTTTGCTTAAATGCTCTCATCAATCATTCTTCTTTCATCAAATTAGCCATAAATATATATATACTCTCTGATAACAAGTTATTTATACTCCTAAACCCAAATTCTTAGAGTGAAATTCTTACTGAAAACAATATTATTATATAAATTCATGATCCAAAAACCCTGAATTGTTTTGAAGAAATCATAATCTTTTCAAATATGTGCAAGTAAGTCATGTTGTAATTGCCTCTTACTTTATTGATTTGATAGATTCATATTAAAAACTTCTATCTTTGACATCTTTCAAATAATCTTACGTAGACGTTATTTTTGGGACCAGCAAATTACCTAATTTTTTCTTCTTATTAGTAATTACCAAGCAAAGGTAAGTTCACCTTTGCTTGATTGATGTATTTTAATCAGGTATATATTTATTGAAAACAATTTCATTAACTAATAATTATTTAAAAGGGTTCGCTTTACTAATGATACAACTTTTAGGAGTTTTACCAACCAAAGTCTCTTGATTCCTTTGATTTAGAAGCTTCTTACCTTTTTATAACTGTAATCCAAATTTTTTTGATTAGGTGATTTTGAGTTAGAACATGCAGGACTTCAAATTAAACAAAAGTTCTATTCTTTCTTGAAGTTAGCCAAAGCATACCATAAGAGATTCATGGCTTGAATATCCTATTTTCTAACAATATAACGTTCTTTAAAACTTTCTGATTGTCATGACTTAGGAGGCGAAATACTGTAAGGTTTATTTAGTTTATTAATATGAGTTTTAGGAAAGAAAGGAATGGTAATCCTTTAATGATTTATGTAAGTCCAATATTTACCACTCAAGAATAATAGAACTACCTTAAGTTCTCTAGTGGTTAAGGTCATCTTCAAAAGGTTACTCTCCTTGCAATCATTATACGGCTAACCTTTACCACCAAATTGAATGATAGGTTACATCAGATAGTCAAGATTAATTTATCAAACAAAAAATTATTCTTAGCCTAATAACATTTTTCGACTCTTATGATTATGGCTATACTAATAAATTATCATAATTATGGATAAAAAAATATTCAATGTTAGTAACATTTGCTTTTAATATTTAATGCACGTACTTACAAAAAAATAAAAATATTAAATAAATTAATGTTATTTAAATGTTTTTCCAAAAAATAAGTATTTATAAATAATTAAAGGTGAAATCTTTAAAATCACTTAGATATTTAATTTTTAAAAAATTTAGAATGAATTATTTCCTAATATAATATTTTCACTGTAAAGAATATCTAATTTATTGATGAGGTCTATTTATATTATAATTGCTTCTCAAAAATTATTAACAAAATTTGATTGACACTTAATGTTAAATATTTAATAAAATGGCCAATTATTCTATATTGATGTTAAGTAGCACACAAGGTGAGACTTTTCAATAAATTTTTCAGAATTTTCCAAATGAGTGATCTATTCAAGATATTCATAATATCTCTTTACATTAGTTATATTTGTTGTTGAGTTTTCAGAAATACTTGGAATCTAGTTCAAATATTAGATATAAACTAGAATATAATTTTATATGTAAATTGCCTTAAAGTTGGTTTTGGAAGCAAATTTTATTTAAATTCCTATTTTATTTGTTCAATTTAAATAATATTTAAAAAATAGAGGAAAGTTATTATTATTAAACACACATTAAATAAAATTAATTCTTGTTGCAGTAGGTCTTTTAATTATTTCTAATATCTTAAATTAAAAAAAATTGAATACCAAATGACAATATATGTTTTCTAGATTATCATTTCAAATTTTATGTTTGTTATAAAAGTTCACACCTATTTCATATATCCTAAATTATATTAAATCATTAATTATATTAATGATTTAATCTAGCTTTGCTATAATTGCTTATCTGAATTGTATAATCTAAGTTTTTGGAATTCAAGAAACTGTATCAGATTCATTTTCAGAAAGTACGTTTTCTGATGCTGATGGTAATTAAAATTCATAAAATTTAGGTTGGGTTGTAATTGGAGCAGGTAAGATCTATAAAATATAATAGTATTGATTCCTCTAATTTACATGAGTTTATTGTGTATGTCGATTAGTCGAATGCGTATTAGGTTTAAGTGTCTCCAACACAAGCGAATTCAATGTGTGGAAATGAGGCAGTGGGCGACGCATGCTTGAATTCGAAGGTAACAATTGGTCATTCAAGTTCTACAGCCATAATTTTGATCACTAGTACTATGACAGCTGATTCTGTAAAAAATTAGAATATTTTTAAGTAATTTTGGGGAATTAGAGCTATCACTATATATGTTGATAAATGTCCCGATGGATGCTTACTATGCAACGCTACTGATTTAGCTATTTAATGCTTAGTTTGGTAGGTATTCTATAGAAGTTGGACCTAACTAAATGTAAATGAAATATCATCCAATGGATGGAATGTAAAAAATGGAATTTCTGAAGCAACATAATGTGGATGTAAAAATAATGAATATAAATTAGCTACGGCTTTATTTGGTGGTTCTACAAAATTTTAAATTGCAACTGTTGTCAGTCAGTCCTTTTCTAACATTCCAAAGCATGATAAAATGAAGATTTCATTTTTATTGGCGAAAATTGACGATTGGTTTAATTACTAAGTATAGCTAACAGTAGATGGTACTCTGGTTTGGAAAAAAGTATTTGGATCGGGTGATGGTTACAATTGGTATATTTGTGGAGTGGAATAATAATATAAAACATAGTTTTATAGAGTTGAAGTAGAATTATATCATGAGAGAAGTCAATTAGATGTCTCTTTTTCTTCTATAACTCAAAAAGTAAAAGTAACGCCATAATCATATGGCATCAGAGATTTAGTAATTTATATTAGATACTGCCCTTAAGGAACGTATTGGACTGGGGTTATCGATTTAATATGTCAATGTAATTGTCAGTTGAGTTAGTTTAGATTGCCATAATTCATGTTACAAATGTGATGGCCCAAAATCAGAAGACTGTACTGATTGTGGAGACCCTATGATATATTAAAAATAATTAGTGGCTGGTCAATGTTCATGCTTAGAAAGAACAGTTTAATAGGATAATATTGATGGGACTACTTCATGCTTTTGTATTTAGTCTTAATTATGCTTGTTAGCTTGCCATCCTAAATGTGAGAGGTGTTATAAACCTTTTGATAATACTGTTAATTAATATTGCACAATGTGTTTATAAGGATAGAATAGAGTTGTTTCTGATTTATTTATGTGTGTTTGTAGAACAGGTTATGGTGACGATGGCATTTCTGAAGTTTGCTTTAGTAATTATTTTTTTTATTTTAGAATGTCATTATTCATGTGAACATTGTAATGGTTTCTTAGCAAATAATTGTACAACCTGCTTATCCTCCTCCAATCGTATTTTGACTTCTGAGAGTCAATGTTTATGCAAATTAGGATACTTTGATACTGGAACCAACGATGTCTTTTGTAAAAGTAAATTAATAAACATCTTAATTTTACAGAAATTTGCCATAATGCATGTTCTAGTTGTACTTTACCTGGAGTAGATTAATGTACAAGTTGTCCAGTTACAAGACAACCAGATATAATAGGAGCCAACTTTCAATGCTTGTGCAAAAATTCTCACTAATATAGTGATGATACAAAATTAGAATGTTAGGAATGTCATTTCACTTGCTTGATTTGTTATGGAGGTTAGGAGAGTAATTGTTTAACCTGCGACATTGCTTATCGGCAATTTTCAATGTAGAAATGTATTTGTCCTAATGGATATTATGACTAAGGCTAATTAATCTGCTCCCGTAATTATTAAGAGTATTAAAAGCTTGCCATTATAAGTGCATGACCTGCTTTGGTCCAGCTGAAAATAATTGTCTGACATGTGCGAATAGTAACAATAGAATATTGAAGAATAATATATGTTTATGTCCAGATATGTACTTGGAAAATTAGGCTGACCCTATGTGCTACAGTAAATATTATAGTAAAGACTAGAATGTTCATATCGATGTTCTAGTTGTAGTGTTAAAACAGAAAATTGTACAGCTTGTCCACTCTAATCTTATAGAGATCTAGGAACAGATAATGCATGTTCTTGCCAAACTAATATGTATGAATAACCTAATAATCCAATTTGCATTCGTATTTATATATAATTCAAACTAGCCTGTCATTATACTTGCTTAACATGTAATGGACCTGAATCAAATTAATGCACATCCTGTTATACTTAAATTATGAGACAATTGGATCCATTAGGGTCTTGTTTATGTATGAATAGTTACTATGATCCTGGACAAGCTGGTTGTTTAGGTATTAATCAAATTATATTTTTAGCATGCAATCCCCGTTGTTTGAATTGTGAAAACTTTGCAGATAATTGTATCTCTTGTAAATCAGATAGATTCTTACAGGGCAATACTTGTATTTGCCCAAATAAGATCAATGGTGTCCTCATTAGCAAATACGAAAAACCAGGCAAAGTTGATTGTCTAAGTTAGATCTAATTAATTTAACATAGGTTGTCATTATTCTTGCTTAGAATGTAATGGATCTGAATTTAATCAATGTACTAAATGTTTGGATAGTGAAGGTAGAATTTTGATTAATTCTACTTGTGTTTGTGCCTCACCAAATGTTGATATTGGATAACCATAATGTTAATGTTAATGTATACTTGTAAACCTAAATATTAGAATGCCACTATAGATGTGAAACTTGTGAAAATATACTTACAAATTGTTTAACTTGTGCTCCAAACACTTTTAGAACTTTATCCATTTCACGATGTATTTGTTAACAAGGATATTTTGATGATGGATCTAATCCTATATGCTAAAGTATTTTAGAATTATATTATTAATAGAATGCCACTATTCTTGTTAGTATTGCTCCTCTTTTTCTACAAAATGTGATACATGCTCATCTACATTCAATAGAGTATTAAATCCATTGATGTTTACTTGTAATTGTAAGGAATCTTATTATGATATTGGAAATGAAGATTGTTAGAAATGTCATTATTCTTGTTTGGCTTGTAATTCTTTTGGAAATGAAGTTTGTGAATCCTGTAAAGACGTGTCAATTTCTTTTAGATTTTTTAATAAAGGAGTCTGCGATTGTTTGCCTGGATATTTTGATGATGGAGTCTCTCCTGATTGTAAGAAATGCTAAATTTCATGTTTGACTTGTTAAAACACTGCAACTTATTGTACATCATGTGAATAAACGAGATATTTTGAAGGAAATAGTTGTTTATGTAATACAGGTTATTTTGAAATTGATCAAGTTTTATGTGAAAAATGTGATCAGAAGTGTCAAAGTTGCTCAATTAATGCTAAGATGTGTACTGAATGTGATTCAATGAGAATTCTTAATTAAGTAACTAAAACTTGCATTTGCAAGCCTGGAACTACTGAAATCGATGGATAATGCTAAGATTGTGATATTACTTGTAATACTTGTTAAAATTCAATAACTGATTGCTCTTCTTGCAAATTTTTGAGATTATTAACTGACAATTAATGCAACTGTATAGATGGTACATATGAGAACAGCAATGATAAATAGTGTTTGTATTGCAATAAAACATGCCAAACATGTATCAACTAAGAGAACTATTGTACAACTTGTTCAGAAGATAATTTTCGAATACTTTCTTTAGGAAATGTTTGTGTTTGAAAGGATGGATATTATGAAGATACAGTTTCTTTAGATTGTAAACCTTGCGACTCTTCTTGTTTAACTTGTAATATATTTCCTACTTATTGTCTAACTTGTAATGCTTTGTACAACCTCAGTCTGGATGCCTCAAATAAATGCGTTTGTTCTCCAGGTTTCTATTTTAATTCCTCAAATTTAAATTGTTAAGGTATAATTATATATATTCAGCTTGTTATATTTAGTGCTTAGAATGTAAGTCATATTCAGAATGCATAGAGTGTGAAGATTTTACGAGATATTTTGATCCAGATAATTTTGAATGTCCATGCAAAGATGGATATTATGAGGTTACTGCAAAGAAATGTTAATGTAAAAAATATATTAATATCATAAGTATGCGATTATAGTTGCAGGACTTGCTAAACTTCACCTACAGAATGTTTATCATGTGAACCACTTTATCATAGACTTTTAAACTCTAATTAATGTATTTGTTAGGATGGATATTATGATATTGGGATTGAGATGTGTTAACTATGCAATCCAATTTGTTTGACTTGTTGGAAATCTTCAACTTAATGTACTTCTTGCAACTAACCCCAACAATTTAGATTATTGAATTTAAATCAATGTATTTGTTAAAGTGGATATTATGATATCGGTTAATTGGTTTGCTAAAGTAAAATTATTATTAACTTATAGAGTGCTCCAACTAATGTCTCACTTGCTAAGGGTAATAAGATTTTTGTACAAGTTGTGATATTTATCAATATCGAATTGATCAATCTATTATTAATAAATGCCCTTGTTAATAAGGTTTTTATTAAGATATCAACGAAATATGTTAAAGTATTATTTGTTTATTAAATCAGAATGCCATTATAAATGTTAAACCTGTGTTTAGAAAAAAGATAATTGTTTAAGTTGTGTTTAATCTTAAACTTCAAATAGACTAAGCATCTCTAAAAATTGTAATTGTAAGGATGGGTACTATGATAATGATATGTAATCGGATTGCTTAAAATGCAGTCCATAATGTAAATTGTGTTAAAACTCATCAAAAAATTGTTTAACATGCTATGGCGATCTGAGAGAAGCACCCCCTAATTGTAACTGTAAACTTGGCTATTTTGAAAACTTGCTTGGGATTTGTGAACGTAATCCATTATCCTTATAATATAGCTTGTGAAAATAAATGTTATAGTTGTGAAAAGACTCCATCTAATTGTTTATCATGCTAAGAAGGGAGAATTACTCAACTTTGTATTTGTTAAGATGGGTATTATGAAAGAGGATAACCTCATTGTGATTGTATTTTAGTTATTTATACTCTAAGAATGTTCGTTTTAATGTAAAACATGCAAGGATTCCTCAGTAAATTGTTTAAGTTGCAAAGGAGATCGGATTAAAATACCTATCTGTTCATGTCCTGAAGGATATTATGATGATTACTTGAATGATTCGTGTTAGGTTTGTAATTGGTTATGCTAAACATGTAACCTAGATGGCTGTCTAACATGTAAAGCTAATAGGATCTTATCTCCTGAAATGTCTTGTGATTAACCACCAGGTTCTGTCAGTTATCCTGATACTCCATGGTGTTCAAGTATTAATTTATATGAATATTCAAGCATGTTAAGTAGCTGTACTCAAAATTAGGCTTTCTGATGACTTACTGTCTATATAGGTCAAATTCGACTTTCCCTTGAATCCGCATTTTTTCACTACACAATTTTAAGAAAATATTTGTTAAAAAATATTAGAAGATCAAACTTATTAATTATTTGGTAGGAATCCTAATTGTTATATTGACCCTAATGATGCTACAATAATAATATTAGGATTGGGATAATAACCTAGGATTCTTCCAGGAGATTTGATCTTGTTCTAAAGAAACTATTTGGGTCATTAAGGTTGCGATTAGCCATTAGTTATTTTTATCTTTAATGAAATTAAAAGTCCCGTAAACCCACAATCTCCAATCCTAATATACGATGAACCTACTTATTTAATAAATCCTTGTGATGATAATATAATCCCTTTGAAATCAATATTAAATGATGGACTTAGAAATTTTGTTAGTATAAAATGGACATATTTTGTAATTGGCCCTAATGGCAATGGTGATATAGATAACTTTATTGCTTCATAAACAAAATACTAAATGTTATCATTAATAATCCCATTCTAAACTCTACCAAGATAGTCCAATATTACCTTCGAAATAGAATTTCAAAATTTTGTTGCAAAATAAGGTGTTCAATCAATTAGAATATAAACCAATTCTGGTCGTTTTCCCACTATCTTTTGGGTTTCCAAACCTACATATTACACCTTTGAACCTATTGTTTTGGAATTTAATATTAAAAAAAGGGCTTGTTCAGATATAAATGCTACTTAAGTTGATAACTCTTAATTTTTTTTATCATTAGTTGAAGTCCATAAAAACGATTCCAATTCCAGGTCATCAAGAGTAAATTATTCAGAAATCACAGGTCAAAATAGTTTTATTGTTANAAAGTAAAATTATTATTAACTATAGAGTGCTCCAACTAATGTCTCACTTGCTAAGGGTAAAAAGATTTTTGTACAAGTTGTGATGTTTATCAATATCGAATTGATCAATCGATTATTAATAAATGCCCTTGTTAATATGGCTTTTATTAGGATATCAACGAAATATGTTAAAGTATTATTTGTTTATTAAATCAGAATGCCATTATAAATGTTAAACCTGTGTTTAGAAAAAAGATAATTGTTTAAGTTGTGTTTAATCTTAAACTTCAAATAGACTAAGCATCTCTAAAAATTGTAATTGTAAGGATGGGTACTATGATAATGATATGTAATCGGATTGCTTAAAATGCAGTCCATAATGTAAATTGTGTTAAAACTCATCAAATAATTGTTTAACATGCTATGGCGATCTGAGAGAAGCACCCCCTAATTGTAACTGTAAACTTGGCTATTTTGAAAGTTTGCTTGGGATTTGCGAACGTAATCCATTATCCTTATAATATAGCTTGTGAAAATAAATGTTATAGTTGTGAAAAGACTCCATCTAATTGTTTATCATGCTAAGAAGGGAGAATTACTCAACTTTGTATTTGTTAAGATGGGTATTATGAAAGAGGATAACCTCATTGTGATTGTATTTTAGTTATTTATATTCTAAGAATGTTCGTTTTAATGTAAAACATGCAAGGATTCCTCAGTAAATTGTTTAAGTTGTAAAGGAGATCGGATTAAAATACCTATTTGTTCATGTCCTGAAGGATATTATGATGATTACTTGAATGATTCTTGTTAGGTTTGTAATTGGTTATGCTAAACATGTAACCTAGATGGTTGTCTAACATGTAAAGCTAATAGGATCTTATCTCCTGAAATGTCTTGTGATTAACCACCAGGTTCTGTCAGTTATCCTGATACTCCATGGTGTTCAAGTATTAATTTTTATGAATATTCAAGCCTGTTAAGTAGCTGTACTCAAAATTAGGCTTTCTGATGACTTACTGTCTATTTAGGTCAAATTTGACTTTCCCTTGAATCCGAATTTTTTCACTCCTCAATTCTAAGAAAATATTTGTTAAAAAATATTAGAAGATCAAACCTATTAATTATTTGGTAGGAATCCTAATTGTTATATTGATCCTAATGATACTACAATAATAATATTAGGATTGGGATAATAACCTAGAATTCTTCCAGGAGATTTGATCTTGTTCTAAAGAAACCATTTGGGTCATAAAGGTTGTGATTAGCCATTAGTTATTTTTATCTTTAATGAAGTTAAAAGTCCCGTAAACCCACAATCTCCAATCCTAATATACGATGAACCTACTTATTTAATAAATCCTTGTGATGATAATATAATCCCTTTGAAATCAAAATTAAATGATGGACTTAGAAGTTTTGTTGGAATAAAATGGACATATTTTGTAATTGGCCCTAATGGCAATGGTGATATAGATAACTTTATTGCTTCATAAACAAAATACTAAATGTTAGAATTAGTAATCCCATTCTAAACTCTACCAAAGTAGTCCAATATTACCTTCGTAATAGAATTTCAAAATTTTGTTGCAAAATAAGGTGTTCAATCAATTAGAATGTAAACCAATTCTGGCCGTTTTCCCACTATCTTTTGGGTTTCCAAACTTACATATTACACCTTTGAACCTATTGTTTTGGAATTTAATATTAAAAAAAGGGCTTGTTCCGATATAAATGCTACTTAAGTTGATAACTCTTAATTTTTTTTATCATTAGTTGAAGTCCATAAAAACGATTCCAATTCCAGGTCATCAAGAGTAAATTATTCAGAAATCACAGGCCAAAATAGTTTTATTGTTATTATTGATAGATATACTTTGACTCCAATGGTAGCATATACTTTTGAATAAACAACAAGTGATGTAATAGTGAATTTTTCAACTAAAAGAAATATAACAATAGAAATTAGCTCAGGAGGTATTATGTGTCAATTTAATGGTACCAAAAAGATTTAGAATCATAGGAAAGATACTTAAATATTCATCTCATGTAAAGATTTAGATACTTAATATAACTGGAATTAGGATCCTGATATTGAAATCGATGTCGAGTGTATTGACTTTAATAGGAATTCACAATGTGTGGATATATAAAATAAAATAATCCAAATTAATAGAACTGATACTTTCCAAGCCATTCCCAAATACACCATAAATCCGTATTCTATTTAAAGTTGGACTGTAGTGGCTAAAAAGCGATCACGCTCATATAAATTTGAATAAAAATTGGTATATATAGATGAAAATTTTGGATTATTGAATATCGCCCACAATTAATGGTATTTAATGAGACCAGTCAATAACTATGAAAATTTGGAGTTCATCATTAATATTCCTTTTCAAAATAGGTAGTATCTTCTAGAATTTCAAGTTGCTATCATTTATAATTTTGAACTCATAAAGATATTGCAATCTGAATACTTTTAATTCTAATTTAATATATTTGATTATTATTAGAAATTTTCAGAGGGAAATAAAATTAATTTGAAATTTTTGGCATAGTTCACTAATGAGATCATACCTTGCCAGGAGGATTTATAATTAACGGTCAATTTACCTCCTTCCTGTATAGTGAGCTTGAGTGAATAAATAGTTCAAGCATTAAAACCTTTAAAGATAATTACAAATTGCCATTTTTCAATTAATGCTCCATTTACTTACCAATTAAGATATGTTCTTCATAATTAACATTTAGTTGATTTTTTGGATCGAACAAATGATTATTCGTTAATTTTGAGTAGTTATTCAAGCTCATATTATATTGAAAGCACTTTTCCATTTTCTGATGGTTTTCTTCTAATTTAAGCAATGGATTCTAAGGGATCGTACTCAAACATTTAGAAATAGTTAAATATAACTTAGACTGTGCTTAATTGTTCCTAGATACAAATTCAGCAATTTACTTTAAGATATCAAATTTCATTATTATTTGAAATTATAATGAACCATAAAGAATAATAATATTGTATTGATCTTTCCAAATAATTGTATTCAAATATCAAAACCTTTTTAAATGCAGAAGAGAATGATGATCAATTATTAGTTTATCAAACAGCGAAACTGTATAAAAGAATAATACAAGAGCATGTTAATGTAAACTCCAAAAAGAGATTATTAACTGAGAATTCAGTGAGTTGCTTTTAAAATTCTACAAAATCCTTTTATGTCTAAAGTACACTGCATAATGCTTCATCAACAATTACTGCTTCTAGTTTGCAAGCAGAATTACAATATATGAATGCTACTGTTCAGAAAATGATAACAATGCTAATAGATATTAAAGATTAAATTAACTAAAATGACGTGTTTTTGAATGAAAACCTTTATTAGAGTAAAGTAGCTGTTTTGGACTCTTTATTAGGGGCATAGCTTTTAATAGAGGATGTATTTCTTAAGATACCAATGGCACCCATTAATTCTAAATTAGATAAAGAATAGATTATTAATATAGCAGAGGGGTTGATTGGTCTTTTAGATGAAATTTCATTGTATGTTAACGTTTAGGCAAAAGTAAATGGCTCTCCTTTAATTAATGACGGGTAAATTATAAAATGGTAGTTGTCCAAAATTACTAAAGGAAGGTTTAATGCGGAATTTAATATTGAAAGAGATTAGTTAGATGATTTGATTGACTTTGTTCAAAAAGAACAAATAGAATTAAATTACAATTATTTAAATCTATCTCAACAATTATAAACATAATTGTAAACATTCTTTAATATAACCACCCTATAAATAAATGAGAATACATAAAAGAAAATTTATCTATCAAATCATCTTTATAATAATCGTTCTCTTTATTATTAGGATCCACTTACAACATATATAATAGATATGATGTAAATTCCATACTGTTAAGAATAGGTTCCTTTAGAAAAACCATATTAATATGATTGTGCTAATATAAATATGGAAGGATAAGTATATAAATGTGATTTTGTAACTGAGGAAATTAATAATACAACTGTGTAAGTATCTTGCAGATGTCAAAAATTAGGAATTATCTTTTTAATCTAATATCCCAACAACTCAGCTATATAATAAAATAGCACTTATGATTCTTAGGAAAATAGAATTGAAAATTCAAATGTAAAATTAGATGAATAACCAATTTTATTATTTCAAGGCATTTTCATAGTTTTTTCTTTCCTCATTTATTATGAATTACTTTAAATCGAAAAGAGATCTAAATAATTACGAATAGAATCCAGATTAGAAACAGAAAATAGCATAGATGAAGCTTTGAAATAAGGAAAAACTTAGTAAATTATCTTTTATCCAGGAAATTTTGCTCTATTCAAAAAATACTTCAAAGTAAATGGCATTATTAATATCTAGTTTATTCATGAAGTATTATCCTGCTTTTATATGAACGACCCTATTCTTCCAAAAAGTTATCGATTTTTATAGCTATCAATAAAAATAAGTATTTTCATCTTATTTACATTTTTGTAAATAAATTTGATAGATATATATCCAATATTCATAATATTATTCGTCAATAGCGGAATTTACTTACTTATTAGATTGGTTCTAAAGATAGTTCAGTCAGTTTACAGATTCAGTGGGAAATGTAGCAATTCTATTGTAATCTTTTATCTGCTAATACATATATTATGTTATTTAGGGGTTGTTTTATAATTGAAGGAATGGTAAATAAGTATTTATCTTTTTAGTTAATTAGACATTTAAATAATTAATTTTGAAGTTTCACTTATTATAATAGGCTCACTCTTTTAATTTTATGTCATTATGGAACCAATTATGATATTTTCAAGAATATTTCTTTTTAGACATATCGCCATGTAAAGTAGACATTAAACAATTACTCCTTTGAATTAACTAATCTACTTTTTTGTTTAGCATAACACGTTAGATCAACATCTTAATAATTATTGAAATATTATATTCACATTATATAAAATTATCATTTTCGAACATTTTTAATGGATCCTATCCTCAGTTTCGGCATATCCAATGATGATATAAAGCCGATCTGGGGATACTTCTTAAAGTTTGAGCAAAAAATTTTCAATCTGTAAACATAAAGCGTTGCCATCATTTTTATTGTAAGTCAATGTTATTCATGTTCCCCTTTCTATTACTAATATCCTGACTTTAGAATATGCTATCAAATGTGTTGTTTTAAGGAAATTTTAATGTTATAATAAAATTTGGTCTAATATTACACAAATTTGGATACCTTACTAATAGAGGTCCAAATTGAGTAAATAAATGCATCGTTGAGCCTGAGTTAGTTTAAGTATGGGTTGATAGTAATGCTATTAATAATATCCTTATAAAATTAAAAATAATAATAATAATAATAGTGGAGCACTTTTTTGTAATGAAGAATGCTTCAAATATATTATTCAAACATTTGTGTTTTAGAATGTCCTGGTTAAACCTATTTAGATAAAAATTGTTTTTAGAAATTGTGCAGACCTATATTCAGAATGTTTTGGTGTTGAAATATACGAGCAATTGCCTTATTGGTTAGAATAGAGAAACCAAATGTTATGCCATTCGTCCTAATCAAAGCCTTTTTAAAATTAGTTGACTAAGCATTTTACCATAATTAATTTAATTAGCGGCTGAATACCTTATTAATATTTCCTCAGCTTTTCTCACTCAATATATTTTTCTACTAATCGTATATTATTTAATATTGTACCTCTCTTAAATATCCCATTTGACTGTTCAATCCTTCAAGGAAATTTAATTCAATTTCAGATCCTAAATTATATGTAAAATCAATATTATATCATTTTACTTTCTTGATTTATAATTATTATTTAAGGATCCTCTCTAAATATAGTACTTGTTTTTACCAAAATTTAAAACTTGATCTTGAATTTAGGAATTATTCTTGATTAACTAGCGATTTGATTTAATTTTTTGCTTAGTTGAGCTATTTTTGTTATCTTCATGTTTCTTATTAATCATTTTGATTTGCATTCTCAGTAGTAGCCCTATTTATGTAATTGAAGAAATAAAAGTGTTTGTTGTTTCAAAAGAGAATGTGTTTCAAAAAACGATAATTTACACGAGCTCATGAAAAGTTGCTTATGTATTTCGATTATATGATGAAAAATTTTTGGTAAAAATTTATTCGAAGAAACTGCGTTTATCTATTTTAATAATATTACTTTCTCCTTTCCAGAACCTTTAAACATTTAAGTTAAAAATATTTTCTAAAATTCTTAGAAAGAAAGTTAAGTGTTTTATTAACTTTATTATAAGAATTTATTTTATAAAACTTAATGAGTAATTATTTTAAGTTTAATTATAATGATAGAGTAATTAATTGATTGCGGAATGAAATTTTAAATCCTATTTTAATTAATTTATTATTAATATGTTTGTTTTAATAATGGTAATTTTACTTTAATTACCCTTCCGAAACCAAGCTTAAAGATTAAAACTTTAAGGACCGAAGCCTATATATATGAATTGCATATACATAGATGAAAGTTTTAAGAATTTAATATATTGTAGGAGAGAATGGCTTTGTGGGAAGCTAGTATTTTTACGAGTACCTTTCATAATCTGGAAATGTGCTAAATCTTGATAAGATTACATTCATCTTATGGATAAACATATATTAAGTATCAAAATTGACTGGAAAGTAAATTTTGTTTGCTTTCGTCGATGGCAACAAAAATAATCCTGTAAAGAATTAATTCATATTAGTATATTGATTTAATGTTGTATTAAACATCTGCAGGAAATTACAATATGACCTTATTGAATTAGAGGTAATCTCCAGAAATAGTTAATTTAACACGGTATAAAGAATAAACTAAAAAGTACTAAAAATGTGAGGAGCGTGACTCAAGACAGGATAAATGCAACTAACTCTGTTTATATTGCTTTGGTGGGAAGGATAATCAATGTTTGGGTTGTCAATAAAATTTTTCTTTAGTCCTTATCACACAACTTGTGTGAAAGATTGCAATCATCTAAATTATTTAAATATAATAATAGAGAAACAATGGTTTGTGAAATAGAATGCCCACCATCATATTTAACATAGGAATTAGAATGTGTTAAGATTTGTAAAGGTGGATATGCTATCTATAATAATACAGTATGCCTACCATAAACTCAAATTACAGATAATTTCTTAATGACTTACTCTTATTCTTCCCCATCAAAAACTATATTTTTTGATTGCCCTCAAATTTGCTAAACATGCACTAATTAAACCTTTTATACTCGTTGTCTATATCATTACATTTTAAACCAAAATAAATGTCTTATAACATGCTATCCACAATATCTATATATTGATGAAGATGATGTTGGTCATTGCTTAACTAGCTGTGATCCAAATGATTTTGTATACGATAAGGATATTCTATTAGACAATGCTTCAAAAATAAATGTGGCTCAATTTAGTTTAATTAGAAGTAATAAACTTATTTACATTAAACGAAACCTTTTACTTGTATGTATCCATGTGATGATCAATATGATTTTCAATAAAACACAGATTAATGCTCTAAATGCAACTCAATTTGTTAGAACTGTTAAAACTCAGCCAATTTTTGTACTAAATGCTGGCCAGGAACTTTTCTTTAAGACAATAGTTGCTTCACTTCTTGCCAATCTAAATTTAAGAATTACATGAATAATCAATGTGAAGGCTCATGCTCAAGCGGATTTACTATTAATGACAGTAAAATTCAAGCCTGTGTCTCTTTTTGTGGGGAAATATTTTCTAATTTTACCTATGTACTCAATGGTCAATGTTATCAGAATCCTCCCACAACTGGAGCATATTGCATAAGATAATAGTGTTAAAATTGCTTTTATAAATGCAAGACTTGTTCTGGTCCATAAAGTAATTAATGTTTATCCTGCTATGATAAAACATTTTTCTTAAATAATTAGTGTGTGTTAGATTGTGGTGCTAAGTTTTATGATTTGTTAAATTGGAAATGTGTGGAAATTTGTCCAAGCAATACTTATGCTACCTCTGGTTATGAGGTTGTCAATTCAGATTTTTAACTAAGCAAATCTGTTCCTCAACCTGCTTATATAATTAATTTTAATATAAGGGTTAATGTACTGATATCTAACCAGAAAACACCTTCTATATACAGAAGACTAATTATAGATTATGCGGTAAATGCACAGAAGCATGTAAAACATGTTTTGATTCCTATTCGACCACTTGTAGTAAATGCAATCCAGGATTTTATTTATATAATACTACTTGCTCTACCGAATGTTCTGATGATTTTCCCTATAAAGATACACTTAATAATTTATGTGTTGTTACTTGCATAAGTTATTAAGAAAATGGATATTGCGTTGCTAACTGTTCAGATAAGTATTACAGGTATGATGCTCAGAAATAATGTAATGAATTTGGTTGTCCTAAAGGAACTTATAATTAAGGTTCTACACATAATTGCTATGCTTGTGCACTTGGATGTGCTACTTGTACGAATGGATTATCAAATTCATGTAACACATGTATAGAAGGATATTTTCTACAAGGTACATCAACATGTACGAATGAGTGTAATGTGGATCCAGATATTTTTTAAGATTGGATTAATGGAAAATGTGTTTAATAGTGTCCTACTGGGGCTTACTTGTAAACTTTACCTAGTGGGTCCCTAGCATGTAAAGTAACTTGCCCTGTTTATTATTATTCAAATGTTTGTGTTGCAACCTGCCCTCCTCAAACTTTTTCTGATGGAAATATTTGTACTTCATTTGCAGAACCTTGCACTGTTTGTTTAGGGAAACAAGTGAACCAATGCACAAAATGCGATTCTGGATATTATTTGGCTGATACTACTTGTGTCGAAGTATGTCCAAATATAAAACCGTATGCAAATCTAGCTAATTAGACTTGTGTCTCAACATGCCCAGATTTCTTGTATTTAGCTAAAATACTCTGTTTTAGCTCTTGTCCAGGTTTCTTAGCTATTTATCAATTAAATGGGAAAAAAGAATTTGTTGATTAATGCTATTATTCTAAATCTTATTTATCTGCAGGAATTTGTTTACCATGCATTTCTATTTGTAAAGAATGCTATGGACCTTTAAATGGAAATTGTTTAGAATGTGAATCACCTTACTATTTAGATCAATAAAAATGTTAATCGGCTTGTCCATCATAATTATACACGGACTTAGCAGATAAGACTTGCAAAGAATCCTGTCCATCCACTACGGTTATATAAGGTTAGTATTGTAAGCCCAATTGTGATATCAATTATTCTTAGTATGGTTAGCTTTGCGTCGCAATATGCCCAAAATTTACGTACAAATTAAATTCAAAATGTTTACTTTGCAATTCTTTATGTAGGACTTGCAACGGACCCTTAGTAAGTTAATGTTAATCTTGCATAGAAAACTATCTATTAAATAGTAGTACTTGCACATAAACCTGCCCAAACCTAGATGATTTCGAGACTTAAAAATGTGTCAGCACTTGTGGTACAAAGTATGAATTAACTGATCTCAAAAGTTGCGTGACAACTTGTCCAAAAGGATATTTAAAATGTAATAAAAATTGTTTGAAAACTCCACCCGATGGGTATTATTCAGATGGAGTAAATTGCATTTAATGCAATAGCAGATGTGCCAAATGCACATCCCTAAATGTATGCTAAGCATGCAATAAAAACAACTTTCTAACTTTATAAACCTGTGCTAGTTTTTGTATGAATAAATATCTTTATATGGATCCAACAACATAGACTTGCGTTACAAAATGTCCACCATAACTTTACCATTAAGAATCCTATGATAAAAGGAGTTGTGTTGAGGATTGTCTCTTTGGCTTTAAATTTAATAATTAATGTGTTAATTCTTGTCCAAAAGGAATGTATGTTAAGAATAATTTCTGTATAAGTTGTCCTTAGACTTGCGAAGAATGTACTTCAGCAACAAATTGCACTTTATGTGGTAAAGATTATTTTTTAGAAAATGGACTTTGTTAGTTAAGTTGTTTAGCTGGTAAAACTGATTATAAAAACCATACATGTGTCTCATAATGTGATCCATCATTATTTGAATATCAAAATTAATGTTTAGAAAGTTGTCCCACAAATCCAGTAGTTTATTATCATTCAAATATTTGTATGGATGCATGTCCAAATAGTACATTCTAGAACAATTAAGAATGCTTGGATTGCGATGTTTCATGTTCATCATGTGTAGGCCCATCAAACAATGATTGCTTAGTTTGCAAAGAAACCTACTATTTACTTGACTAAAAATGTATTCTCTCTTGTCCTTATCTATATAATGAAGTAGAAAGATCTTGTGTTATTTCTTGTCCTCCAAATTTTTTTTAGAATGGGAGTAGGTGTTTTTAGATTTGTAGTTAATACATGTACTTTGATACTTGTGTATCAAGCTGCCCACCAGCAACATACCATTCAAAAAATTTTAACTGTTATGATTGCTCTTAGGATTGTCTTGAATGCGATTCTTTTGGCTGTCTTAAATGCGGAAATGGATCATTTTTAAATGACGGAATTTGTAGTAATTATTGCCCATACTTTTACAACATTATCTTAAATCAATGCGAGGAATAGTGTCCAAAAGGNATTATTATTCAAATGTTTGTGTTGCAACCTGCCCTCCTCAAACTTTTTCTGATGGAAATATCTGTACTTCATGTGCAGAACCTTGCACTGTTTGTTTTGGTAAATAAGTTAACCAATGCACAAAATGTGATTCTGGATATTATTTGGCTGATACTACTTGTGTCGAAGTATGTCCAAATACAATACCATATGCAAATCTAGCTAATTAGACTTGTGTCTCAACATGCCCAGATTTCTTGTATTTAGCTAAAAAACTCTGTTTTAGCTCTTGTCCAGGTTTCTTAGCTATTTATCAATTAAATGGGAAAAAAGAATGTGTTGATTAATGCTATTATTCTAAATCTTATTTATCTGCAGGAATTTGTTTACCATGCAATTCTATTTGTAAAGAATGCTATGGACCTTTAAATGGAAATTGTTTAGAATGTGAATCACCTTACTATTTATATCAATAAAAATGTTAATCGGCTTGTCCATCATAATTATACACTGACTTAGCAGATAAGACTTGCAAAGAATCCTGTCCATCCACTACGGTTATATAAGGTTAGTATTGTAAGCCCAATTGTGATATCAATTATTCTTAGTATGGTTAGCTTTGCGTCGCAATATGCCCAAAATTTACGTACAAATTAAATTCAAAATGTTTACTTTGCAATTCTTTATGTAGGACTTGCAACGGACCATTAGTAAGTTAATGTTAATCTTGCATAGAAAACTATCTATTAAATAGTAGTACTTGCACATAAACCTGCCCAAACCTATATGATTTCGAGACTTAAAAATGTGTCAGCACTTGTGGTACAAAGTATGAATTAACTGATCTCAAAAGTTGCGTGACAACTTGTCCAAAGGGATATTTAAAATGTAATAAAAATTGTTTGAAAACTCCACCCGATGGGTATTATTCAGATGGAGTAAATTGCATTTAATGCAATAGCAGATGTGCCAAATGCACATCCCTAAATGTATGCTAAGCATGCAATAAAAACAACTTTCTAACTTTATAAACCTGTGCTAGTTTTTGTATGAATAAATATCTTTATATGGATCCAACAACATAGACTTGCGTTACAAAATGTCCACCATAACTTTACCATTAAGAATCCTATGATAAAAGGAGTTGTGTTGAGGATTGTCTCTTTGGCTTTAAATTTAATAATTAATGTGTTAATTCTTGTCCAAAAGGAATGTATGTTAAGAATAATTTCTGTATAAGTTGCCCTTAGACTTGCGAAGAATGTACTTCAGCAACAAATTGCACTTTATGTGGTAAAGATTATTTTTTAGAAAATGGACTTTGTTAGTTAAGTTGTTTAGCTGGTAAAACTGATTATAAAAACCATACATGTGTCTCATAATGTGATCCATCATTATTTGAATATCAAAATTAATGTTTAGAAAGTTGTCCCACAAATCCAGTAGTTTATTATCATTCAAATATTTGTATGGATGCATGTCCAAATAGTACATTCTAGAACAATTAAGAATGCTTGGATTGCGATGTTTCATGTTCATCATGTGTAGGCCCATCAAACAATGATTGCTTAGTTTGCAAAGAAACCTACTATTTACTTGACTAAAAATGTATTCTCTCTTGTCCTTATCTATATAATGAAGTAGAAAGATCTTGTGTTATTTCTTGTCCTCCAAATTTTTTTTAGAATGGGAGTAGGTGTTTTTAGATTTGTAGTTAATACATGTACTTTGATACTTGTGTATCAAGCTGCCCACCAGCAACATACCATTCAAAAAATTTTAACTGTTATGATTGCTCTTAGGATTGTCTTGAATGCGATTCTTTTGGCTGTCTTAAATGCGGAAATGGATCATTTTTAAATGACGGAATTTGTAGTAATTATTGCCCATACTTTTACAACATTATCTTAAATCAATGCGAGGAATAGTGTCCAAAAGGAACATTTCTTTATATCGATCAATGTTATGCATCCTGTCCAATCAATACTTATACATATTT